TGTTCAGTACGCCAATGGCTCAGGCTAAATATGCAATGACAGCGTTCAATTCCAAATGGAAATAGGAAAAATTAGTCTTCGTCGCTCGCGTTCTCCAGACTACGCAGAACTTGGTCATTTGACGTTGTTGCTTTGCAGGAGAAGGCCAAGAAATGTACAAAAATCTATAACGTACGCGCACAGCTATTGTTTTGCTCATTAAATCCTTTGTTTGTTGATGTTCTCGTTGTTGTCGTCGTCGTTGGTTTCCTACCTGACTAGCACTGGTGCGACGACGCCGATCTGAGGATAACTTAACAGTAGCTAACTTTCAATAATTGTGGCTTCTTTTTTTCCGAGAAGTTAAATCATGAAACCTTCGGCGTAACATGAAACTTTCATTTCAACTAAAAATAACACAATTCCCACAAATTCCACAATTCTGAACTGTTGACTGTGACCGTCATTGGAAACCGGCTTTGGACTTTAAATTAAGTTATTCTATATATCCTTCCCGATGTCGACAAATCTGGAATCATGTGGCCATATTTTTCATCTGCGATTTGACCAGCCGAATACGAGTATAACATAGCCAGCAAATCTGGGCGATTTAAATCAATATTGTGAACGGTCACCATACATGACTCGTAGGACGCTGGACTGGGAGAATGGCGTGCTCTGCTCGACAGACGCACTAGAAGCATAAACAGCGAGGTGAACCCAAATTTCGTTTTCATCTACATCAATCGGTAGTTCTCAGATCAGTCTCAACAAACAAAGAATAGCCGGCCCACTTTCGGGGTAATTTTTTAAATAAAACAACATTTTTTATAATAATTTGCTCCACTGCTAAACCAAACAAGCGTAAAATGGAAGCGTAACGCTGGAAAAAGTAAACATTTTTTAGGAATACAACTCCATCCGACTCGATCTATCCCGATCTTATAGACAATTAATTCTTGTGCTTTATACCTGTTTGCTTAATCTCGGAAAGTGCGCATTATATGATAGTTTCTAATCGGGTTATTGTGAGATCTCTTGATTCTTCTGATCTGAGGGTTGCATTTAGTTCTTTCGGAACTTCAGTATTTAGGGCCCTTTATCAAAACAGGTTAGCATTCCATCTCAGGAAGGCGGCTCTTTGTCGAAGTTATCTTAATCTGTTGTCACTGGCTTTATTTCATAGATAGAAATGATACTGATACCAGAGGAATAGAAATCCAGTCGGCGCGAATCATTTCTGGGTGATTCTTTACTTGCTTCCATTAACGCAAGTACGAAAGTAGCTTGACACTCGCACTAAACCTCATGCTTTAAGTAAAACGCAAAGTAAACAGAATACAAGCATTTCACCTCCGGTATCATAACGAGTTTATTGAGTTATTTTTTTTTGTAAAAAAAAAATACCTCTTAGTCGGCGCGTCGGGTATGTTATGGACGGGTCAATGGATGAGT